ATTATGAGCTGCAGTCAGGGGCGTTTTAGCCGCAAGGCTAACAGACATGCGGGTGCTGGGCGGGCGGCTGGCGAGAGAGCACTTCCCCTGAGCGGTCAGCTCAGCTCCCTCGCCGCCCGCCCAGCCCGGCAACCACTGGACCCCAGGGAGAGAGGGAACCCCCCCAGCATTCCCAAAGGTAAGGAGGTTGGGGGGGAGGGGTAAATAAAAAATAAATAAAAATGTGTTAATGTGAGTGAGTGTGTGTGTGTATATGTCTGTGAGTGTGTCTGTTAATGTGTGTGTGTGTTGTTAGTGTGTGTGTGTGTGTGTGTGTCTGCTAGTGAGTGTGTGTCTGACTGTGTGTGTCTGTTAGTGTGTATGTATGTGTCTGACTGTGTGTCAGTGAGTGTGTATTTGCCTGTGAGTGTGTGTGTGTGTCTGCGTGTGTCTGTTAGTGTGTGTGTCTGTTAGTGTGAGTGTGTTTGCCTGTGAGTGTGTGTGTTAATGTGTGTGTCTGTTAGTGTGTGTGTCTGACTGTCTTTGTCTGTTAGTGTGTATGTGTGTCTGACTGTGTATCAGTGAGTGTGTGTGTGTCTGCTAGTGAGTGTGTGTCTGACTGTGTGTGTGTCTGTTAGTGTGAGTGTGTTTGCCTGTGAGTGTGTGTGTCAGTGAGTGTGTCTGTTAGTGTGTGTGTGTGTTTCTGTTAGCGAGTGTATGCGTATCTGTCAGTGAATGTGTGTGTGTGTGTGTGTATTTAGAAGGCGGGGCGGGGGGAAGGGTTGGGGGGGAGGGGCGCCTGAGTTTTGTCCTGCCTAGGGGAGCACAAAACCAGGATACACCACTGGCTGCAGTGGTTATGGTGTTTGGAGCGTTTTTTTAATATCCTATACCACTGCTGAGATTGTACCATCAACAGTGCTTTATGGGTTGCAGTGGTTATGGTGTTTGGAGCGTTCCTTTAATATCCTATACCACTGCTGAGATTGTAGCATCAGCAGTGCTTTATGGGATGCAGTGGTTTCGGGGAATAGTTCAACTTTCTTTCTTCTACAGCAGCATTTTTTGGGAAATGCTGCAAGTTGGAAGGGAGAAACAAGAAGGGTGGACTTGTTGATCAAAAGTTATTATTATTGACTAAAAGAAATACATAATTAATCATAATAATAAAGCAGTATACCTGTTAGATAACCTGTACCAGACATGTGGCTGCCTTGTGTGCCCTTCGCTAATCAAATACCAGGGCACACAATGCTCTTTAGAAATGCTAAATATTATGACCAGCAGGTGGCACTGTCCACACACATTCTTACCTTATATCCCATTATTTTGGCACACTCCTAGTGTGTGTTTGCCAGTGATCCCTGCCTTGAGTCTTTAATACACACTCAGAAAACATTGACCAGCATATTAGGCGTGTGAGTGGGGTTGTGGCCAGGGCTAATCTGAGAAATTTTAGGTGATTTACAAATAATTTATACAACTAAAATGTACTTCTAAAGCAAGAACAATGTATCTTATTTACACAGACTGATTTCTAGACACATTTATTGCAATTTAACCCCGTAAGGACCAAACTTCTGGAATAAAAGGGAATCATGACATGTCACACATGTCATGTGTCCTTAAGGGGTTAAAGACACATTACTGTGAGAATTATTGCTGTGGAGCTCTGTTATACACTTAGATATAACAATGGAGTTCCTAGAATAGAGGGACTTTGGGATAGAAAAGAGGCGCAAATGGATTTGGGCCCAAAATAAGGAGAGTCCCTCCTAAATAGGGACACTTGGCAGATATTGACTAGCCATGATTAGTAATACAGTATCTTCTAGCTTTCTACTTTCAGACGATGCCACTTTTACCTGGGGATCTTTATTCAACTCTCTTTTCTGCATAAAAAAAAAAAAAATCACAAAAATACCCCTCAAAAATAGATTACGCTGTCTCCTAGCCCAATGTACTCCTGGATTTTCCTTCAATGTCCATTTTATTGATAATCAGTTTGCAAGACAGGTTAATGCAATATATAAAGGTTAAATAATGGGGGTCCACCACAGAGCAGGGAATTCCAAGGGCCCAAACACCCTTCCTGCTCTAGCGAAAAAACAAATTTGTATGCGGAGAGCTAGTCCATTAAAATGCATTTAAACACACAGAATAATATATTGTTTTCGTAAGTCCCTTTAAAAATCTGTACAAGTGCTGTTTGAAAATGTACAAATTTCTTAAAGTATAAATCCAAAGTGAATTTTGCATTTTTGGCCAAAATATCAAAGCTGGAAAAATTCTTCTAGTCCGTTTTTGTTGTTGTTGTTGCCTAAAATTTAAAATTCCAGACAATTCACACGTTAGTGGAATCTATTTTCTAAACAATCACAGAGGCACAGTTTGACACTCACTATGCATTGCATACCAAGAGCAACAGTCACTGCCTTCTCTTTGAAACCATTGATAAAGTAACCGTAAATTTATTTTGGAATTTGACTTTAAATACTGCCAACGTTATTCCATTTTGGCTATTATGGTCTGAAATGTGAAACTAATGTTAAATTCCTGGCAAGTCACACTTCAGTGAATAACCCTGTGAGTGTACATTACAGCCATGTTATAACGTCACACACTAGAATAAATACCTGCAGTTTTTACTAGCAATGCACCGTTATGGTTAAAAGAGAGAACGACAAGTAAATGTAGAGACAGGACAACAATAAAAAGTATACTTGTGCTAAAACTGAAAAATAAATACATTGAATTACTGGTGGATAATGACTAGAACAGGGCATCAGGGATGTAACACCCCAGACACCCTGAGAGAGGCAGCACTAGGTATCTCTACATTGCTTTCTTGATATGTCCTTGGAGCAAGGGAAGCCACGTTTGTTTTACAACTGTGGAACTATATTTCCACGATGCGTTGCTAGATGTAGGCATATGCTTTAAAGGGGCGGAGTGGACCTTTTAACACAGGGATCGGGAACCTACGGCCCTCCAGATGTTGTGGACTACATCTCCCTTGATACAGCATTATGGCTGTAAGAGGATTTTGGGAAATGTAGTGCAGAACATCTGGAGGGCTGAAGGTTCCCCACCCCTATTGTAAAAGAATAACACAGTTATTTACATGAGAATTCTAAGTGAATATGAAATTTAAGGCCAGACTAGCCAAATGTAAAGCATAGCTAAATTTTTCCAATAAGGCTATTTTGACCTTAAATTTTAAATTCATTTTGAATTCTCCATTTAGTAAATAACCCTAAATGAATCGGGTTCCTATGCCTTGTAAAAGTATTTCCATTGCTTATTATAAGAAAGTATTAATGTCCCAAGATTTTTCTCAGTTTTAGGTTTTGCTTCCATGTTTTTGTTAGTGCTCTCACGTTGTCTGGTTTCTGTACTCTGGCTGAATTTAAATTCTTCATGTTCATGATGAATCTAATTAAATCAGACGTACAGTGCCGACTGGTACAGATCTGACAGCCAAAGTCTTAATACAATAGTATCATTCAGCTAGAAGTGTTTTATTGTATCATTCCTTTGCTATACAGTATGATGCTTTGCTATTATATTAAAGAAAATATATATATATATAATATATAAAAAAATATATATAAAAAGAGATCCATTATTTATCTTTATATAATATTTATCTTTTCTATATTTTATATACACTTCTAAGAAATTCAGATATTTTGTGTCATGATTTTGATAGCACACAGAGACCATATTCCCACATCTGTACTGTTTAATATTTTATAATTTAACGCATTGATTCAGAGGATGTTATATTCTATATAGCGTTGATGAAGTAAATCCAGCGTGCAATTAAATAAATAAATGTTTATACTATTTTCTGACGTTAGATGATTTTGCAAATATGGTATTGGCTTGTCTAAGTTTCTCCAAACTTTTTTGGTAACAGTATTTCACATTAGATATTATTTATGTTTTAGAATCCGTTCCATTATTACCACATAATATAGATTCATTGTCCAAGACATCAAGGGAGAGTCTGAAGGAAAGAAAGACTCTAGGAGATGTAGATGTTTGTTTTGGGTTACCATATCACATGGTTCTGATAACGAATCTGGCTTTTATTCCATGTCTGTATAAATAATACTATTGTAAATTAATTTATGTTTAACGTTGTGCACTTATAAAACAGCACCATTATAAAATAAACAGTTTATGTCATATAGTCCTATTAGCTAGTATTAAATCGGTTTGTCTACTAAAGCCGAGCTAATCTTGCGTCTTAATCGTAGATTTGCTTCATGATAATTTGTAGGGAATATCCCTACCTTGGGTATTCATTCATTTATATCTTATCAATCAAGACTGTATTCTTGTTTTGCATTCACTAGAGACCCTTGCATTTGCAGGCCTCCAAACAGTCCCGATAATGGCAGGGGCAGTCCTGATTTTCTGATTATTTCCTGCTGTCGCATTTTAGTTACCTGGGGTCCCGCTTTTGGAAACACCATTGAACTGTCCACAAAAATCATAGTGTGAGCGCATCATTAGAAGCACTTGTGTACATTTGTTCATAGCCATTGGACCCTGCAAAAACAGTGCTCCCTGCAGGATTTGCCCCCAGTTACCCAGCTAAAATGAATGGAAGGCAGCCTGGCATGTCTTCACACCAGGCTGACCTGCCAGTAATGTGGGCAGGCATGCCCCCCTCCCCCCTCTACCCACTTGCGTTCCGATTCACTGACTGCGGAAGTTGGGAGGTTGCATTTGCATACCTCTGAACATTTCAAATGGTCGAAGAGGGACACTTTCATTTCAGGAGTATGAGTGTGGGTGTGGCCAGCGGCAGAGCTGTTCTAAGAAATTTAGACTAACTAATAGCAATTAATGCAACGAATATGCAATTTAGAACAAGAACAATGTATTTTATTTACACAGACTGATTTTTAAACACATTTATTGTAGTTTAAAGAAACATTACTGTGAATATCATTGCTGTTAATCTTTCTTAAATATTTAGACACACGCACAATATGGAGCTCCTAGAGAAGAGGGACATTAAGATAGAAAAGAGGAACAGATGTTCTTGGGCTCAAAATATTGACTGTCCTTCCAAAATAGGGACACTTGGGTAAAGGTTCAATGACAGGGCCCTGAGATACTTCAATCATGAGAACGCTGTTGGAAAATGTTCCTTTTAATTTCCAGTGAACTGGCACAGACCATGGCAAGTATAAACCAGAGATTATTTTGTTTTGAACTATAAAGAAATTACATGTAAACCAAATTCAGATCTCTTGCCAAATGAATTATACTAATGGTCTTCTACATCAGATAAATGCCAGACCTGACTTTATTAAATGTGCCACCTTAATATCCTACAGCTGTGGCACTACGAGATATCTCTCCAGCTTTGCTTGGCGTGATCCAATACATTTGTTAACTTGAGGCATGTAATGTGGAATCATCTGTATATTTCAGAGGGCTTTCAAGAGTTGAATACAGAATGTGTTGCATACTTTGAAACAAAAATTTTTTATCCTGACTAAAGAAGTGTTATCTTTGTAGATTTCATTATCCATTACACAGAGACTTCCTTTCAGGTTATCTTTCCTATGACATATAACAGTCTTTATTTTGAATTATCTATAATATGTATTATAGATCTTCCATATCTGCTCACTTTTAACTAAAAAAGAATGGTCCAGCACTCTCCAAAAATAATTTGGTGGTGTTTTATTTAGTGCATATCAGGAACATAAACAGAAACATTCCAGCTTAAAAAAGGCTCCTGTGTGAGATGAAATGTTGTTGTTTGTGGACTTCCTGCTATTCGATAAAAAATAAAATAAAAAAAAAATAACCGAAAAGTTGTCACAAATATCACAGCTTTGCCTAGAAGAAAAGTCACAGCTTTACACGTGAAAAAAAGTCACATTTTATTGGGAGGGCATTACACAAATGTGAAAAAAAAAAGAGGAAATGTATTCAGTTTCTCAAGAGAAGTAAAGTAATTTAAACAAAACATTGAGACAAAACATGACACGTAGAGACCTATAAACACCCTGTATTGTATTGGGTGTTACATGCATATTCAGTGGTTTTAAAATTGATTATTAAGACCTACGCCACAAAAAATACTCTGCAACCATCTTGTCTTGACAGCCTTCTCTTCTATTGTATTCAGAGTTTTCACCCTGGTTTGCAATCCACAAAATGTTTTGTGCATTGTATTACAGAATGATGGTGGTTTTGTATGTATGTGTATATATATTTGTATATATTTTTGCTTTTAGTAATTGCTGCTCATATATGCCTTTTTATTTTGCAGCCCGGGTTGGTCTCTGCATTGTCCTACATAGACAAAGTCAGCAATAACGTATGACGCTAGTATGCTGGGTGTGGGTGACAACTAGCTGATGTTTTATAAAAACTTGGTAGGGAAGTATGAAAACATGGTGCTTTAATAATCTGTGACTCCCAGGAGAGTTATTTTTAGTATTTCTGTGACTTATCCTCATGTGACTTTTTTCCTGAATTCAAATAAACAATAGTAAGTTATTTTTGAAGAGTGCTGAACCATTCTTGTTTATTTGGAATGTATCATTGGTGCAGTGATATTGGAAGTCTATGTTTCATTTTACTTTAGTCAGTGCTCCTCCATTCACTGTTGTACGTGCTCACTTTTAACCAACTGAATTCTCAAATCGAAAACCAAACTGCGCATAGTTGAAAGTATTTACACAAGTTTCACACGTTTTTAGAGCCTGCATTTCCTGTCTTAAGATGAGACAGAGACACAGTTTGTTTGTTATAGACCTCCTGGTAGGTATGGAATTTGACACAACTGTGTTGCTAATCTGATGTTAAAGGCCAAAGAGGTATTGTGTAAACACAGCAAAATAAGAATTTCCAAGAGAAGGATAAGAGTTTGAAAATGATGGCAACTAAAAGCAGTTATGGTATACATTTACCACGTGTATTATTATACTAATATCTAGTCATTTAGATCCAGTAATATAACTGTGTGCAAATAAAACACATTGTTTTGCTATTTTTAGTGTAATTTTTATGGTTTAAAAATACTCTACAATGCTTTAAATGTTTACACTGATCAGCCACAACAAACCGTCTGCCTAATATTATGTATGTCCCCCTTGTGCTGCCAAAACAGCTCTGATGCATTGAGGCATGGACTCCATACGAGCCCTGAATGTATCCAGTGGTATCTGGCACCAAGAAATTAGCAGCAGATCCTTTAAGTCCTTCAAGTTGCGAGGTGGCCCCCATAATTGGGATTTGTTGTTCCAGCACACCACACAGATGCTCAATAGTATTGAGATCTGCATAATGTGGAGGCCAAGGCAACACCTCAAACTCTTTGTCATGTTCTTCAAACCATTCTGGAACACATTTTGCATTGTGAAAGGGTACATTATCCTGCTGAAAGAGACCACTCGCAATCTCTAGGTTGGTGGTATGTCTCAAAGTAACTTCCACATGCCAGGACCCAAGGTTTCCCAGAACATTACACTGCCTCTGTCGGTCTGCCTTTTTCCTACAGTACATCCTGCTGCCATCTCTTCCCCATGTAAATGATGAACACATACCCGGCCATCCACCTAATCTAAAATAAACCACGATTCATTAGACCAGACAACCTTGTTTTATTGCTCCCTGGTTCAGTTCTGACACTCACGTCCCCATTGAAGGTGCTTTCAGCAGTGGACAGTTGTCATCATTGGCACTCTGACCGGTCTGTGGCTACTCAGCCCCATACACAGCAAACTGTGATGCACTGTATGTTCTGAAAACTTATTAAAATGGTCAGCATTAAGTTTTTCAGCAATTTGAGCTACAGGATCAGTCAGGCTAGCCCCTACTCCCCACATGTCAATGATTCTTGAGAACCCATGATGATGATGCCAGTTCACTGGTTGTCCATTATTGCACAACTTCCGCTAGGTACTCACCTATGCATACTGGGAACTCCTCACCCGACAAGACTTGCTGTTTTGGATATGCTCTGGCCCAGTCGTCTAGCCATCACAGCTTGGCCCTTGTCAAAGTCACATCTTTTCACATAATCACAACAACTCTCCCTGCCACCACTAATATCTCCTTAGAGCTGAATGTTTCTCAGCAGCAACCTATGCTAACTTTCCTGACCTTAGTGCTACACTTCAGAAAGTAGCTCTATGGTGGAAAGCATCAACTGATTGCTATCAGCCAATGAGCTTAGCATGTCTCTGGATAGATTAGTTATTTCTGAGGAACATCAGACTCTCAAGAGATGGTATTGGAGGAGGGAAGATGCATCTGACGGACCCCATGTAAGATGCTAAACTGTTCAAATATACTTACAATGGGGGGGTAAGGGGTGAGGCAAGTGTCCTATAGCTCTACTGGCAGGATGGCAATCACCACTGTTGTGATTGTAATGTTCCTTTAACTGTAGCAATTTAAAAAAAATTGCAGCAGCTATACATCTGTAGATACCCTCATATGACTACATCGCAGAGGGGAAAGCAATGTGTGGCTGTAAAACAGCATGAGTAAATCTATCACTTGCTGAATCACAACTATTATTTACTGGGCAGTATTCTAGGATTCAGAAACATTGATACATTAAAACAAATATGATAATGGATCCTTGTTCTTAGAAAATAACATCAAAATAATGATAATGTTCCCATATGTCCTAAAATATCAAATGGCAAGAGGGGTAGGACTAGAGAAGCAGCCAAGGCTGGGCTGGGCTATGTTGGGACATTTCAGGGAACGTACTGACCTACTTATAACCACTTGTAAAAAAAATATTAAATTGAGGCCATAAGTTTTTCAACTGATTTAATATTTTACAAATGTCTTAATATTTTTATATTTTTGGAAATATATATTTATATATTTTTTTTTATGTTTGTTGTGCAGATACAAAAAGGAGTTACAAGTCTGAGTATATTTTACTCGCTTATTCATTTGCATAACAGGAAACATCTGGTTCAATACATGCTAAAATAGTGTCATAGGAAAACATTGATAAGCATTGCTGATCAGTAGAAAAAATACTAAGCCTTAGGTTGCAGAGACATTGATGTACTGGCAAAACAATGTAAGAACCTCAACTGCACTTTTAACTGCATTAGGCGGCTGAGCTTTGACCAAAAATTTGCGAACAAGGTAGTTGTAATCAATAAGTCAGCAAAAAGTAAAATTTTCAGCTTTTCAATCAGAACTCACATGAGATGTGATTGCAGTCAAGCCTTGCCCTATATATTTAGATTGTATTATTTTTTAAACATATGTTTGAAAAAAATTATTAAAAAAAAGAAAAAAAAGAAAAGAAATTACAATATTAAGCACATTACCGTTTATTTGCCTTTAGCTCCGTTATAAAAACAGCTATACACCAACAATTTAGAGCTGATTGAAAAAAAGCTACATAGGTACTTGGGTCCAAAATAAGGACCCTACCTCCTAAAGAGAGAGAATTGGTAGCTATGGGTTACAGCCCTCTTTATCACTTCTTGGGCTAATATATTCATTATAATAACCTGTAACTCTGCCAGGAATAAGGATATCCTGTTTGAGCTTAGAGAACAAAATATAAGCTCAATGAGGTAGTTAGTGATTAAGTGATTAATGCTGATGATAAGGAAGGGTCAGCTTTAGACTGTGGCTTGAAGACTAAGCATTACATAACAGCTCCTCAGTGAATGTATCTCCAACTCAGATAAACTACAGAACTACCGGTATCTTAAAACATCATTACATGAAAAGGATGTTTTGAATTAAAGAACCGTGCAAGCTTCAAGATGGAGGCCAACAATGCAGCCATTTTGTTAACTACAGTCTATGAATCTAAAGGAGAAAAATGGTGAGCACAGGCCCAAAGGTAAGTATTTACTAGAAGGGCAAGGATACAAAAATAAACAAATAAAATCCAAATCTTTACTGAATGATTAAAATAATATTTATAAGCAAAGGAATATTGCTGGAGACTAAGGACAGTATAATTGAAGGCTTGTAGAAGTAAACGGTCTTAAAATCTCAACTTGAATATTAGATGTAGAAAACTATTTATGCAACTGAAAGAGGTAAAGCAGATCCCTACAAAACTATACATCGGTATAATTTTCTAGTATACCTACAGCCCAATATAAAAGCTCAGCAGCTTGCAGGCCTAATCAAATGGTTACAATACCAGCAACTAAACTCATACCTCGGGAACTGACTAGAGGTGGATCAATGCCCACCATAACAGACCAAAACAAACAAACAGAACAGTTTAGGTTTAGATTTAAGCCATTGTATTTATTTAGATTTAAAACGTATTTATTTTAGCTGAGCCCCCGTTCCTGCTTATCTTTTCTGCAGCAAGTGGAGCTCTTGATTCCATGGCCGTCCGGTGGTTTTTCTGGAGGTCCTGTTGGCTGCTGCCAGCAAGATCTGCACCTCCATGTCGCTGCAGACCCCTCTGAATGCCCGTTTCCGGTCTCTGACCACAAGGGAGTATCTACAGGTTGTTGCCCCCAGCCAGAGCTGCGGGCTGCATAGAGTGCGGCAAAGAGCCAAATTTTTTAACTAGGAAACATAGAATTATATATGAATCAGTACTGTATATGGTAACACTGAAATGGCCACCATAACTGTTTTTTTTTTGTTTTTTTTAGAAAGGAACTATAATTTTAATGAATCAGCAAGTGATGATAACAGCATTATAATAATAAATGGCCTGGTAGTGAAAGGGTTACAGTGTACAAAGGTTTCAGCAATTCTGAATCCACTAATGACTAACAAATAAGAATCTAAAGTAAGAATATCCCTTAAATCTGGCATAAAACCTTCCCATAGGGACCAATTGCACAGTTTAAATAAATCTCTAGCTAATGATCAGACTCCTATAATCTAAAGGCATCAACATTTTTTATTGCATGATTTTCCTTTTGCAATAGAACACACGTTCATTTTAAAAATTTATATTTAGAAGTCAGTTTATAAAACATTTTAAATTATTTTTGTGCTGATTAATTTATAACCTTACTTTAGATATTAGAATGCATTTTTAAACTGCAAAAAATAGAATATGAATAGAAATCCCCCAGATCTCCAGAGGACATGTTGAATGATCTTCCACAGAAAGATGGAAACATAGATCTCCATTAAGAGAAGGGAGGCTTGAAAAATCATCCCCTTATCCTCCACCCCATAAGTCGTTGGGTAGAGAGTACTTTCAAACCTTGACAACTCTATTGTAGATGAATCAACAATGATAAACCCACATGTTAGAAAAAATGTTATTAGAAAAATACATTTTAATTCTGCTAAACAGTGTCTATAGAAAAAAAAATAATAAAAGTGACAATTTCTACATTAAATTTAGAAATAGATAAAACATCACATTGCTTCTTAAACCAAACGATATATTTGCAGATTTATTCGGAATCGTACAAAAACAAACCAGAGTTTGCAATACTGTCTAGAAAATATAAGCACAAGATATAGCACAGGAAGCATCGACAAAAATTTAACTCTTTGAAACAAGGCCGGAAATAGTGTAAATGGTGGAGATTAGTAGTATTAGTTGAATGGTGGCCACATTTGTGTTTGGTTATACCTGGGAACTTTTTAATCCACTAACCCACTTAGTTCACCTTTTCCCTTTATGTCGCGACCATTCAAGGCATAAGTGGATCACTGCCTCCAGACATCTTAAGGAAGAGGCCCAATAATTTTTTTTATTTTACATTAGATTGAACCAATTTTTTAAATTAAAGTTATAGAGAATATTATTGTTTTTGGATTCAGAACATTTGACAAAATTGCAGAATAAATTGAACAACCACTTTCAACTCCATGTTTACATTAATGGAAATTCATCAACAACACCGTTACAAATGAAAACCTTATCATCAGACTAATTGATAGCATGTACTCTTCAAAAATCAATAAGCACAAGTATAATCATATATTTTATAATTAATACTCTTCAAAGAAAAGTACATGCTACAGGCTAAATGACCACTAAAATCACCCAGACTACCTCATCTCAATAAAGTGGTCTGGGTGCAGTGGTCCTGACATTTTAACCCTTGCTTGAAAAACATTGTAGTTTTGTAAAAACTACAATGTTTACATTGTACGGTTTACACACCTCTAGTGGTTGTATTACAGACAGCCACTAGAAGAGGTTCTGTGTTGATTGGCGCAGACTTGTGACTTGCTGTGCATGCGCACTTGCCTCTGAATGCTTCCTTACGGGGAAGCATTGGATTGGCTGAGATGATCAAGATTGATAATCTTCACTAAGAAGGCGGGTCGGCCGAGGATATAGAAGCACAGAAAGGGATAAAAGGTGCGCAAATCTCATCTTTCTCAAGTACTCCAAGAGTGCCTGACAACCTAACCTTCTACAGGACATACCGTATTTTCCGGCGTATA